TGCATTTATTTTTGCTCCTTTCATCTCTGAGATTTAGAAATCTTCATAGACTGCGTTGTATGCCAAATGTTAAACATGTTCCCTTTTCCTACTGTGTGTTTATTTTTTTATTATTTTCCTTATGCATAGATGTTATATTGTCAAAGTTATACTCAGATTTTGCTGTTGCGGTTATTGCACTTTGGGTAAAATTGTCATCTGCATTGGGGGGCCCCGTAGTCAGTGGAACATTGTGTCACATTGAGGAACGACCTTGGAAAAAACGCCACACAATTTATTCTGCCAACTCACATCATGGTCATTAGAAGCTGCCCCTTCAGCTGCCCCGTATATAAACGCATATATTACGTCGATAGAAGTGATCTCATAAAATTATGCATCTCTGTGTTCAATGGCAGCATATTTGTTGCGCATTTACTTATAACCAGGCGGGGTGGCACTGTGGTTGGAACGCCAATCTTTAAAACATCTAACTTTTTTTCTCGTTTGTTGTCACGAAGGGGGTCTTTAAGTGCATACCTTGTGGGATTGCATGGACATTGACTTTGCAATGGTGCAGAGCATCCTGGGTAATTAAATAAATATGTGAATGGACTTCCATTCTTCTCTTCATATTACACATATTTCAGTCCAGCCTATGGGTCCACCAGACTAATGTTATCCAGCAGCATTTGTTTTAAGCCGTGCCTAATTCATGTATTGCCAGAAAGTCAATTCCTGCAAAAATTCTGGCAGAAAATATGATCAAACTACCATTACATTCTTCATTCGAGGCCATTTCTGTAACAAATCAGCAACAAAGCGATTTCAGCCAACACATGAATCAGTACGTTTAAGGTAGCACAACAGAATTGGTAAATCACACTAGCATTGCTTTTTTTATTGTCAAACTTTCCACTTGCTCGGCTGCAAGGCAATCCAGGCAGTGTAACAGGTGGGCCCGTGACACGCTACAGATTTTAGAGTGATCCCCCCGCCTCCCTCCGGTGTCTCAAGGTTTTCTCTTAAGTCCCTGCACTTTATACCCACATGCAAAACGCCCAATGTAAGCAAAAAAATTGTTAACGTCATGATAGAACTCTATACGTAAAGAGTCCTGCACTGAGACCCAGCGAGGTTTTCCTGGCTAAATGAAGAACATAAGCGCATTTCTGAGAAAAAAAAAAACACTATTCCTGGCTTTGCATGCAGGATTTTCAATTATTCTAGTTCAGAGCTCTGACAGGAGTATTAGCCCTCTGAACCACAAATATAGGTTTCCATTGCATTTTTATCACAAGTCTTAGCGTGGTGAACGTTGCAATGCTCTGGTAAATGCAAACTGCAGCCTGAAATCTTGCTTGAAATAGCTCATTATTGGGTAGTGTGGCTACCAGCCCATGATCCTAGAGCAGATATTTAACTTTGCGGTACTACCTGAAGTGGCATACATTTTGCTGTTCGGTTTTTATTGATGTGGTCAATGACAGTGAATTATGTGATAACTATTTGAATTAGGGAGTTATGAAATAATAAATTCTTAAACACATCAATAAATCGGTACTACTACAGTTTAGCTACCTTGGGTGGTAACAAAATCGAGCTCTGGCCCATGAACAAAGTCCTTATCTTCAGGGCTGGGCCAGAGAGAGCAGTGGAAACTCCACTTTGTGGCGACCAAGCCGCATTATGTATTGGCCCTGTCTGTCTGCCTGTAAATGCAGATTGCAATACTTATCTTCAAGATGATCCAATGCAGATTACATTTATGAGACGTGTTGCTATTAGGGGACTTACCCTATTGACAACTGGACAAATTTATTAGATGGTTTGACGGAAGCTCGGCAATGAATGTGAAAACTAGCGCTCAATAAGAGCCTTTAAGCGTGGCTATTAGCCATACCAGTCCAGCGCCAGGCTTAGCCACAAACGATGAATCAAAGGGAGCAGCGCTGGCTCGATTCACTGTTCAGTATTCGTGTGGCTTATTCGAGTATGGGGAAAGAGCCGACCACAAAGACATACAATAAAAAACAAATACAGACTGTGGCCAAATTCCACATTGATTTATTAAACTTCCCCAATCTTCAGAGCTCATTGTGAACAAATGCCTCTTGAAGTCTATAAAACGCATTACCAGCATATGTAACACCTTTGTATGATTTACAGTCTGCGTGGCACGCAGCACAGAAAGACACGGCATCCAATGCGTTGGTTAGAAGTGAGTCAATTTACTAGATTTTTTATTTTAATTTTTGAACCTTGCTTAAAGCACTGGGCATGATGCATGAAAATCAATCACGTTTTCTAGGCAGTCTCATTTAAATGAATACGCTGCATAAGCATTCCTCACAATGTGCCAGCTTCGCTCGAGAGTGCATATTCAATTTCACAATATCACTCAGCTCAAACAAGTAATTTGGCAGCTAGTCCATGGGCCCAGAGGAGCTATTTTACTTGTCAATATGGCCAAAGGTGGCATAATCTCCGTGGGTTACAATTTCTTAATGTGGCCAATAGCAGTGAATTGTATGATAACCATTTAGATTGAGTTATCAAGTAATTCACTCTCACTAGCCGTAAAAATAAATTGGCACCAGTAAAGTTTGCTACCTACGCTGGTACCAATTTCAGCTCTGGCCCATGGACTAAGTGCTCATCTCCATTGGCCATCCATAAAAGGAGTTATAGAAATTCCACATTCTAGTGACAGGGGTCAGTCTACCCATTGGATGATCAATGTTGACTTCCCACAGCAGTGCATATTTGATTGTCTCTGGAGGAATAAAAGGCTAAGTTGGAACTCTGAGCCTCAAGGCATGAGAGTCGACATACTCTGGCCTGCTGGCTAGATAATGGGTGTGTAGCGATCCTCAGTCTTCACGATTCCATTAATTATCGCGATTTGATTCAAGAATTGCTAATTGTTTTCCAGAGCAACTGATGCCATGGTGGATATATGACGACATAAATTTCGTAGCCTATTTAATTATGTGTTGTATGACTGACAGCTGTGTGTATTATAAGCATTGTAGAATGTAAAGTTGCAAGCATTAGAAGATTTATGAAACGCTTATGTTCAGTGAACTGTATTTGAAGAACTCTTAAGGATTCTTTAGTGGTGCTGGAAGCACATTCAGAGCATGCAAATTAAACAATCAAAAAGCCAGTATGCTACGACAAAGTGATGGGATACACAAATCGTAATAATCGTCCTTTCTGATATGGTATCATATCCTAGGGTGGAATCTATATAATTTCCTGAAAGTAAGCTTATATTAAATGTAGAAGCAGTGGGTCATTAGATTATTAATACAAACGCCCTGCAAAATTCGTGTTTAATCCCGTAAAGATTAATGAACACACGTTCTTAAATTCACAACGTACCCATTGAATCATGCGTGCGTAAAATAAGCAAACGTTTATTCGTTTCGTGCACGGTGTACAGAATGAATCGATGGTGACCTCTTCAGCCACTAGAGGCCGACACACTAATCACAATGCAAACCTAAAATAATTGGTTCTTCAGTGAAATCTCAGCGCTGAAATGTGGCAGGGAATCGAATGACAAGGGTAATGAAGTGTGAAGCCTCTTACCCTGCGCCTTTGGGACGTCAGAATGTCAAGCTCAGCAAACGTGAGCTTTCGCACGTTTCAATTATCCACAGCTTGCAAGTTAAAATTACACTTGAGAGGGAAATGAACTGGCATTTTCGATGCACTACACAGCAGCTTACGTAGCATGCAGCTTACATTTACTCAAATTATTTCGATATGTGCAATAACATTTACTTGTATGCACCCACACATGCATGCAATGAAAGTCACGGAATGAATTAGAAATGTTTATCTAAAAACCAAGAGAAAATGATGAGTAGGTCTAATGCTAGAATCCATATGCGTGCATTGTTAGTATCTTACAAATTGTCTTTATGTATACGCACCGCAGGAAGGATAATCCACGCATCTTTAAGTAAATGAAAAGAGTATCCCACTGCTCAAGTGAGACATAACAGGCACTCCGATCCTGAGTCAATACAGAACATTCCATATTTAATATTACGTGGCAAGGGGCCAGATAATGTAAAGGACATCTCATGAAAACGTCCTACAAAGTAGTACTGAATTTGTTGAGCCCAGAGGGTTGATGGGCAGAGTCGATATTGAAGGGAATTAAAAATTGTTCGCTCCTTGTTGTGATTTGGGAACTCTCCCACTGCACCACCTGGCCGGAATATATATTCACATATTTTGACGTGACACACACAAACTTGGGGATACTGCTCTGATGTAATTGTCAGAACACTGGACGAGCATTCCACAGGACGTCGGTTTGTTCTCCCGGGGCGACAGTTTTAACAACGGGAAAGTGTACTAAACCATCACGCCTCTGTCCAATGAGCATTATAATGTACGTATGTATGTTGAACTTATTTCGCACCGCACCGTATGCAGTCAACCATGCTAATGTATAAATGGGTACCAAGCAGTGGAACCTTCGGGCCGCCTGCAGTGGGGTAGAGTGGAGGTAGTCCCATCTCTTCCACGATGTCTAACCAGCATGGAAGAGTGGGTCATCGATGCCCTCTAGAGCAGTGATTCTTAAATTGGGGTGCACGCCACCCCCTGGGGGTACCAGATGCCCTTTCTGGGGCTGCAAGACATGGCCATATTTTTTAGAAGGTAAATAATCGAAACACAAATTAAGCACGGGCACGTAAGTACAACTACTTTGTTTCATTAAACCTATGTAGTTATTAACATTATATATTTTTTGTTTACGATTGAAAACCAAAGGTGTGCAAGCCTGCAGTCAAGGTTAAGAACCACTGCTCAAGAGTGGCTCTCTAGAGCTGCCTCTAGACGAGGCTCTTCTGCCAGCAGTGACGTGAGCTAGACATTGCAGATTTGCACCTTTATTTAATGCATAAATATGAATCTTGCGATGTATGCTTGAATGACAAGCACGTGCAGCACACACACACAGACAGTGCCGAGTAACATAGATCTCTTGTACTCACGGCATTCTGTTAATTTCCCCTTCCTCGAGTAGGGCGACATTACTCCGAAAAACTTGTCGAACAGTTGGGGCCAGCCACTGTTGTCGCCTGCGTGGAGAGGGACAGACGGTTGGGAAGTGAGAACGTTAGATTGCATGATAGGTGAAACATCCATAGCGCACATTTGCGTTACTATGTTATATCCGTGTGAAATACTGCTTTTATGCACGTGGCAAAATTCACAAGATAGCCTTATTATCATTAATGTCATGTGTACAGCAGAATACTATAAAAAAAACACACACACAAAATGGGTATACAAAGCACATGCTCAAAAACTGTCCCAAAATTCAAAGAAGATGACCATCTTTAAGTGATCTTGAGACTCAGACTTTTATAAAACTTAAAGAACTTGTAAATATTATTATTAGATAGTGTGACGGTCAAATTATCGCCCATCATAGATGAGCAATGGGACAGTGCTCATCTCCACTTCTGCCTCTCATCAGTGGCAGTCACTTGGGTTGGTGTCACCCAGTGTGGTAACTCATGGTGTCATTCTAGATTTGAAGCTTTCGTGACTGCAAGGATCCATACTCTTAGGTTTTTTCGGTAAAGTCACGTAGGTAAAAAATGAAATTAAAAATTAATAAAAGTAATAATAGAAATAAAATAATAAATCACGACGTTTCGGAGGCAACACAAGTCTCCATCATCATGTGGGACCGTTACAGCTAAAATTACTGCATCAAGTGAGGGAAAATTCCAAAAGACCAGCCCTTAAATACAAGTTAAGGGGGGAGGGGCTTATTTGAATGTGGTAGCCAGGGAATGGCACGTGGGGGTGGTGGGCGGGGCTACAAGATAAATTGGCCAACGTCGTCAATGTGCAAGGGAACAATCGGTGTACCTCGACCTAAACCGGTGTTGGTTGAGAATCCAAATAAAAAAAAGCAGTACTGTTAAACGCTGGGGATGTCAACACTCGGTAAAGTAGAAAAGTACCTGTCAAATAATATGGTGTCATCCCTCACGGACCTCTTGCCCGTACTAGACCATACATAATCCTTAGTAATGTTTTTTTGTACTAATGTTACTCGTAAATCGTAAAGTTATTGATATAGGTTCACAAATACTAATTACCACAATATTGTAGCTAAAACACCAGGAAGTTTGACAAAATCAGCGACTATAAAAACACGAGCAGTAACGAAACCAACAACCTGAAGACGGAAGCTTGTGTTGCCTCCGAAACGTCGTGATTTTTATTTTATTTTTATTTTACTTTTATTAATTAAAATTTTTTACCTACGTGACTTTACTGAAAAAAACCTAAGAATATGAATAAGAATATCAACAGTGCGTGCTTGTAGCACGTGCAGACGAAGCCACGTGATTCGATGCGTCATTGTAATTGGGTAACAATGACTGCTCTGACCGGAGCGCATTAGAAGGTTCAAAATGTAAATTAGCATAGAGTTTTAGCCTTGTAGGTATATTGTACATGTAAGCTGGGCTTACGAAAAATGTTTTTTGTTGTTATAGCTAACTACAGGAATATTTTTGATGAAGAAAGAAAATACATTTCTGCTGAAACACTGCACAAACATTGTATAGACAGTAATTTTGGTGTCATCCCCTCTGATGGTGTCACCTGGTGCAGTCCGCACCCCCCTCGTGACGCCACTGCCTCTGATCCATGACGAATGAAACCTGAATATTTTCATGAGGAGTCGGTCACTGACTTAGATGAGACCACAGCAATTCCAGCAAATTTTGAGGCACTATTGCCATTTGTCACCCCCTAAAAGTCTCATAGCTGCGGCTATAACATTGTGAACTTTGAAATAACACAATATCTAGCATAGAGCATGCCTTGGCACAAGCTCTGCCTGGTTGTTTCCTGAATATTTTTTTTTACAGATTTAGCGTTTAAAAAAATGAGTGACCGTCAATTGTAAGAATGTGAGTTGAAAACCTGGTTGGAGTTGACACAACCCATCATCCTAAAGAAGGTCTTTAAATAGGTACCACTTAGTGGATCACTAAGACTGCTTGTCCCTTGGGGAGATTGTCCACCGCCTTGAGAACGTGACAGTTATTTTGTCTCCACAGCACAACCAATGTTGACTTTCTACAAAATGATAGATATGTATTGGCCCTCGAGGGGTGATAAGCTTGTTGCTCGAACTATGAGAAGTACATTCGTGTCAAGAATGTTGCAAGAGTGAGTACCTTGTTCTAAATATGAAGAGATTTACAGAGATGTAAACATCAAACATTAATAATGGTCATATATAGCGAACAAAAACCTTTGACTTCAATTATATTGGTAGTAAAAAAATTTTTTTTTACGGATTGCCAAAAGTCCAGCGCATTTAAAAAACACCATGCCTGCGATTTAAACCCACTGGGCGAAAATCACAGCCGGGGCAAGGTTTGTCCAAGGGTACACAGCAATTACGGTTGAAAAAAACAATTCCTGCTTTGAAAAAAATATAGCAGAGGTGAATAATATGTGAATAGTTGTTCCAGAGGGTGGAAAAGATTGTATTAAGTGAAGCAACATTCCATAACTAAAACGCAAACGAGCTGAATATCAAAAATATTTTCCCTGACCCACGTGGCTGAAGCCATTGGAACGTAGTGTGTGTTACCTCAAAGTAGAAGGTGGGAAATACCACAAACGTAGCCCGGCTAATGCCAACTGAGGGGAAATGATGATAGAGAAAGCAACAACAACAATTAAAACAAACTAAAAAACCAAACGGCTGCTCGTAAATGCTTTCGCAGAGCTGATTTATGGAATCTAAAAGAGAAAAAAGTCTTTGCAAAACCAATTCGCATTGCAGAACCTGATTGGCTGTTAAGTGTGTTTTACTCGAGCACTTGTTTGTTTCTACTAATTAGGTTTTCGCATGATGCTCTACAGCACTCGGCTGTTGTTTTGTGCGAGCTTCTTCAAAAACTGAATTGAATGTTAATTTACAACTCAAAATCCCCATCGGAGAGCTGGACTCGTTTGCCGGATGTCTGTTGGCTCCAGGAGGTGGCTGATGAGGCCGATCCGGGAATCAGCTGACTGTGGTCGCACAGTCAGCTGATTGTGATTGAATTTGGTCACGACTGCGCTGCTGCCGTTTCTACCGTTCCAACCTTGCTTCCCTCCTGTTGCCATTGTTGCGCTTTTCGAAGAGCCTGAGATCCCTGCAGCAGAATCTTCCTGCATCTGGGGCGATCGATGGGCAATAGCCTCCTCGCGAGCCAGCGTCGATGTTGCAAAACTCTACATGTCGGCCTTGAGGACGGTCCTTGGAAGCGCTTTCTCTGCCCTCCTCTTGAGCATATGAACACCTCGACTGAGCTGGGAGAATGAAACTCGCTTCAAAGAGTCTGGAGTCGGACATCCAGGGGATGTGGCCGGGCCCAATAAAGTTGATGTTGGATAATCGTCGCCTCGGTGCACGTGGGGTTTGCCTTACGAGAGATAGCATGGCGCGACTCTATTGCAATTTCAAGCGTTGATTCATTGGCTGAAATATCGCGTGGGCGGTTTGTCCAACTGTTGGTGATGAAGATTGGAACTTTTCATACAAATGGATGAAAAGGCACACCTGCCAAAAGATGTAATCGACTAAACCTTTTCGACATTCATAGGAGCATGGGGTACTGCTCATCTCCGTTTAAGACCCTGTGCCAGTGTTGGAATTGCTACTTCCCTACGGTAGACACCACTCTAAGCGGAAGGTAACTGTTGACAATATGCCAAGTAGTACTCATTTTAGTAACCCCAAAAGACATGTTCGACTCCGAACAGAGGTTTGAACTCCTGACCGTCTTGGCTTTGATTATCCGCTCTGACCACGATCCCAACCTCCCGTAATCAATTAATTTATCAGTTCATAATTAGTTTCTTAAAATCATCCACCTGCACCGAGGCTGGCACAGCAGTCAACCCATGGCACTTGCTGGGTCTGGTCCCGTGACCTTCTCCTCCTGCACATAGCCTGGCACAGCAGTCAACCAATGGGACCTTCTGGGTCTGGTCCCATGACCTCCTCCTCCACATCCTCCTACACCTAGCCTGGCACAGCAGTCATCCCATGGCGCAACCTGGGTGTGTCCCGTGACCTCTTCCTCCTGCACCTAGCCTGGTACAGCAGTCAACCCATGGCACTACCTGAGTCTGTCCCGTTACCTCTTCCTCCTGCACTGAGCCTGGCACAGCAGTCATCCCATGGCACCTGCTGGGTCTAGTACCGTGACCTCCTTCTCCTGCACCTAGCCTGGCACAGCAGTCAACCCATGTCACCTACTGGGTCTGGTACTGTGACCTTCTCCTGCACCTAGCCTGGCACAGCAGTCAAGCCATGGCACCTGCTGGGTCTGTCCCGTGACCTCCTCCTGCACCTAGCCTGGCAAGCAGTCAACCGATGGCACTACCTGGGTTTGTCCCGTCACTTCCTCCTCCTGAACCTAGTCTGGCACAGCAGTGAAGCCATGGCACTAGCTGGGTCTGTCCCGTGACTTCCTGGTCCTGCACATAGCCTGGCACAGAAGTCAAGCCATAGCACCTGCAGGGTCTGTCCCGTGACCTCATCCTCCTGCACATAGACTGGCACAAGTCAACCCATGGCACCTGCTGAGTGTGGCCCGTCACTTCATCCTCGTCCTGCACTAAAATCAATAATAGTCTGCCAATGAGATGGAGCGATTAAATCAGCATGTGTGCAGGAGGTTCTGGTTCGAATGCTGCTTAGCAGGAGCGTGAGAGGTCGTGATAGTTTGGGGATGCCTTCATCCAGCAGTGGATTGACGATGGCTGAGGATAACATTATACTTTTTCGGGAGCACCTTATTCGTTGCTTAATAATTTCACTTGCATTTAATTCCTCTATAATAATGCAAGCTTTAAAAAAAACACATTTTATACGTACTGTAAATTTATTTTACAAGCATTCTAATGGCCCCTGAGTTACTGGTAAAAAAAATCCAGTGTGTGGATTTGTAAACTTATACATACAACGCAACACATGTAAAACTATTTATTGCAGTCTTACAATGAACGCCAGAAAAATGCACGTGGGAAGAATTTGTAATTAAATGTT